CCACAGAGCGGCAGCGCCACAGAGCGGCAGCGCCACAGAGCGGCAGCCACAGCGCCCCGCGCGCCCCCTGCTGGGCATCGCCGGCACAGCCCGCGCCCTCCGAGCAGCCCTGCACGACTCGGTCGTTAACTAATAATTCAATCATAACAAATAATAATGAATTGTTTTATAAAGTGCTGTCATTCTTTCTTGCGATTGGCTGCAGATATCATTTCCAAATTAATACTTTTTCTCACAATCAGACAAGCAGCTGAAAGATAACAGATCTTGCCTTCAGTTCTTCAACCATCTCTGCCAAAGCCCTTTGACTCGGCCCCGGTTCCACCCAGAGGGCGCAAACTCGTCCTGAGCGGACCAGAAAGCAGCCAGAAGAGCCTGAAGCTCGACAAGAGCTCCATGCCGAGATCCTGAAAGAGGCTGCACAGAGAGGTGTGGGTGGGTGCTCCATCCCCAGAGACGCTCAAGGCCAAGCTGCACCACGCTCTGAGCAACCTGATTGAGCTGTAGGTGTCCCTACAGCTTCAAAGGTCCTTTTCAATTCAGATGATTCTACAATTCTATGAACCTAAAGGAGCATCTGGGACAGCACCAGCAAGGGACTTCCCTACAAAAGGGATTTATTACCGACCGAAGACAGAATAGCACCCAGAGCAGCAGCGCAGAGTGCTGAACAGCAAACCCTGCAGGACGCGAGGACACAAAGCAGCACTCTCCAGCCCAGCTCCAAAGGAAGACAATCAGCAACAGGGGCTCAGCAGATAAAAGATGGAAATATCAGGAGCCATGGTAGCTCAGATATTATCCTTGTTCGGTCGGAAATTGATTTCAACAGCAGACAAAGCCTAATAACTTGCTCTGCCAAGCATACTGTGGGTAGTGCCAAGCAATTTTAAGAGCTATTGCAGGCCTTTCTGTATAAAATCATTCCTTTGTAGCAAAAAGTTACATTCCTACTGTTTCACAGATAACACTGACAGCATCATTTATTCCAGGCTATAGCTACGGGCAGAGGATCCACAAACAGCAGTAAGAATCTTCTAAGAAAAGCTCAAAGTAAAGTCTCTATTCCAAGAAGTTTATTAAGCAGAGCCCTTTATCTAATTCTCTCTCTAAGAACAAGACAAAACTAAAATTCCAAACTCTACTAATGTGAAATTTAAAAGAAATTTCCAAGCAATTTCCTTTGATCCATCATATTTTTTTCCTAATTTTTCATCAGGAATTCTCAATAAGCACTGGAAATGTAAATAAGTGTTGCTTAAAAAATACCTTTTTTAAAGGTAGTTATCTAAAGGTGTTATCTAATGGGCTCTGCAGATCCAGCACCAGCATGACTCCTTTTGAACCACTTTGGTCTTTAGGTTGTTAAGCCATACATACACACATGCAAGTGTTAGATGTCAGCTGATTAGTGCTAGTGTGTTTAAATAATGAAGAATTTCCAAGGAACACAGAGTCATTAAATAGAAATGGATTGTGAAATGAATGAGGGGAAAAAGCTTTAAAATTTTCTAATCATTTTAGTTGGAAATCTCAGAGAGTACAAATTAATTTAACTCGTGGGTTGCTAGGAAAGTATTTTCAAAAAATGTCAGACTTTTCCACAACTGAAGCCCCAACCACAGAAAAGTCACAGAAACACTCTACAGACCATATACTGCGAAGGGCATACTTACAGAATTATTTGCAACAGATCCTCTATTAAAAGTCTGATACTAAAGTTTCAAGTCAGATTTTTCATTAAGAATGAAAAGCAGAAAGAAGACTGAAGCTGAATGGGAGCTCCCGTTGTCTATCCCATCTATCCTCAGCAGGTGAAATAGCATTAGTTCTTCAGCTAGCAACGTGAGCAAAAACAGAACTTGAAGTGGTCATACTAATGGATACCTGTGCAGAAAGCACATGAATCAGATCTAGCCAGAAAAGGAGAAGCAGCCTGTAAAAACAAACTCTGTGTGTAAAAAGAAAGGCAGAATTTGTGGTACGATGTTCCTTACTATCCTTCTTTCCTTATTATCCCTTTTTTTTTTTATACATATAATATTTTAAAATAAAGTTTTTACTTTTTAATTTTCCTCTTCCCATGGTAAAAATAACAAATTACTCTCACCAACTGATGTTCACTTTTGAGCTAGCATTTATGCAAATAAATGAGCTGATTTATGCAAATAAAAAATAGTTTTAGTTAAATGTAAAAACTGCATAATCTTCAAGTTATACAATAAAAGATGTTGCAGGTCATCAGTAGCAGTCAATATGTATTGGCAGGTATTTTCTGTTCTTTATTCTTGGAAGCAATCTTTAATCTCCAGGGAGAGCTGCATGGAATACCATTCCACTTAGAACTGGAAAATCTTCAGATAGGAAAGAAGCATTACAGCAGAATCTCAATGTACTCTAAGATGGACTTTGTGATCTCATTTTCCGATGAAAAGAAACGGAACAAAAGTCCTCACAAAACATTCCCAGCAACCCAGAGGTTACAAAACCCAACCTGTCTTTCAGCTTCACAGAAGCTGAAACTGAACGTACCATGAATAGTCTAGATCAAATCACAGGTTCTGTAGAATCTGTGATTAAAATAGCTCTGTAAACTTGTACTACTCCTGGCCTCTCACTGCATCTTTATCTGAAATCAAGCTGTTTACTGCATTCCTTCCTCATACGTCAGCTCCTAGTGATGAAAGCATGCCAGTGATTAATACTTTTTATTAGGTCAGTTCCAGAGACTTGAAATGAATTTGCCCTGACTCCTCAAGTATGCTACCACACCCACTGCACAGAACTCCAACCATTCTAGGAATGCAAGATAGAAAAAAACATTATCTTAGGTGATACTCCATAAATCTGTAGCAATAAAATCAGCTATATGCAGAAATCATCTTCAGGAAGCTCTTCTTCCAAGGCAAATGGCATATCAACTGCTTTAAAAAACTGGAAAAGGCATTGTGCTTTCCTACAGCTCCTTAAGCAAAGCATGCCATAGAAAACAAAAATGGAAAGTAGTCCAAACATTTTCTGATTTTGTAATTACAATGTGACAGTGTGAAAGGTTTTATCCAGGTCTTGCTCACACAGCTGTAATCCACTGTCTTCTACTTACAACAAGATCACAGATTTTACCTAAATTTACGGACTGAATTCTGCATGCACTGTTTTGCAGCACAGAACAAGACACACTGGATAGAAGGATAGGAAGATGCGAATTAGCCTAGAGGCGGTCTGACAGCAAACTGAACTTAGCAATATCCTCTGTACTAATTACAACTTGTCTTGGCTTGAGAGATACCTGCAATTTCTTCGCCTTTGGCATGACAGCAGTGACATCAACTGCACAAAACGGCACTGCCTTAAAAGCCAGGAGGGATTTCTACCTACGGATTCCCGGCTGAGACTTAATGCCCAACCGGGTGCTCAGCGCCTCACCTCATGGAGCTGCGAGGCTCCCTCAGGACGGCACACACCACCATCTCCTCTATCAGGCTCACACGTTAGGAAGCAACACGTTTCAAAGGGTTGTAGACTTAAACATGTCAGCCCACACACTTTCTTTCTGCGTACACCTATGAAACTCCCTAAATGAAAAGTCCTTTTTCTTCAGATTTTAAAGCGCACCACGGTCTCCGCGTTAAGGTTTGCTGATACTTCTGCCAAGGTCACTAGGTGGACATTTACACAAAAATAGTAGTGCTATCTCAGCATAACGCCAGTAAACAAGGTCACAGAGAAGCCGTCAGGTGCATTACCAGATTATTAAAGGTGGTTAAAACTGAAAAGTGCACCAACAATTCCACGGACAGGATGGACTTTGCAAGAGCATCCAGAAAGGAAGAAGTCGAGCCTGCAGCCCGATACGAACACAGCCCGCACATCGCACACGGGGCCTGACCGCCCGGCCCGTGAGGCGCGCAGCCTAGCAGGGCAGGCAGAGAGCGGGGCTCTGTCCGCCACAGCGCTGTGTTTGCACATCAGACCCGCCCATTCCAGAGCAAAGGTTGCCGAGGCACCTGCGCGCTACTGAAAGAAAAAAAAAAACAACGCCGTACTTCCTCATAGCGTTGCGGCCCCCTCAGCGGGACGCCGCCCTCCATCTTGGAATCCCGCCGAACGCCGCAGGTGCGCGGCCCCGTCGGCCTGCGGCCACCGCGCATGCTCGGGAGCGGCAGGTGCGCGGCCCCGCCGGGCGGCGCATGCGCGGTGCAGGAGCCGCGCGCTGAGCCCGCCCTCCCGCGGGTGGCCGCCGGGCTGGCGGGGCGGCAGGTGCCAGAAGCCGCCGTGGCCCCGCCCCCTTCGTGAGGGCGGAGGCGTCGCGGCGGCCGCAGTCGCCGGAGCGCCCGCGGTTGCCGGGGCAGTCGGCTGGCCGGCTTCGGGCCGCGAGGATCCCACTCTTCTGCCCGCGGGCGCCCGGGCTGGAGGGAAGAGAGGAGACACCGGGCCTCCGGCGGCATGAGCCGGCCTCACCGCGGGGCCACGGGCAGCCGGGGCCTCGGCACCATGGAGGTGAAGAGCAAGGTGGGTGCGAGGGCGCGGGCGGCCGGCGCGGCCCTGCGGGGGCTCCCGGTCGCGGCGGAGTGACGGAGGGCGGGAGCCGCTGCTGACTCACACACAGACGCGCGCACACACAGTCATACTCACACACACCTGTCGGGTGGCGGCGCGGCCTGCAGGGGCGGAGGAGCGGTGCGGAGCCGGGCCTTTCTGTGTGGCGGGCGGGGATGGCGGTTGAAGCTTTGGGGTCGTCTGAGTCTAAAGATGCGTTCTGCTCGTTTTTGTGCTCCGAAGCGCGTTCCTAACCTACGCTGGGAAGGAAACACGGTGAGCTTAACGGCTGCGCGTTGCTGACCTCCTTCCTTTCGCTGTGGCGGAGCAGGCTCCCGCCGTTGCCGTTTGCGGTGGACCCCGGTCCTCGCTCGCTCCCCATCGCGCCGCGCTTCTCTCCGTTCCGCGCCCTGCTGAGCGCCCGACGCCGCCGCGCTTCCCGATGCTCCGTGCAGCCCGCGGGTGTTTCTGCATCTGTTGCTGTCGCTTGTTTTCTCCTGGTTGGCCGTAGTCTTACGGGCAGAGAACTTCAGGGTTCTGAAACATATCTTGGTTTTGATTTGGCTTACGGTCGTACTATTTCGTTAGCTTGTCCTTTTGCAGTTAATTGTGTTTACAATTGTAAATTTCAAAATACATTCGATGTGAAATCTTAACTGGTGTCAAGCTGCTAAAGAAATATGTTAAAATCCTTTTCCATCGTCTAGGCAAACTGCAAGCATGTCTCCACATGAATATGTTTTCTTTTTTTTTTTTTTTTTTGAAAAAAAGGTACTTTTGTGCCTCTTTTTTTTTCTAAGCTACTCTACAGTCTGTTTGCTGCTTGTGCTCTGCTGCTTCCGGCAATCCAAGCATCCATTTGCAGGGTAGGTGAGGCAGCCAGGAGCTGGGAATCCTAGTGATCCCCTTTTTTCCCTTTTTTAAACACTAGCGTGACGAGTGCTAAAACTTCTACTAGAAAATATGTGGTTAGCTTTTGGAACTTGCATGGATGATACTTATTATTTCTAAGTGTTTTTAACTTAACTGTCTTATGGCAAAGTCAGAATGCTCAGGAATACTTGGCTGCCATGATTCCAAATGCTAGTTAAGTATAGCTGTGATTGTAGTCACTGAAGTGTTTTTTTAATCTATGCCCTTGTAGGATTGAAAGCAATCAGAATAATGTGTTTATAAACAGTACTTTCTGTCTCAGTCCAAACCTCCCCTGTAGTGTGCTGTGCCTGATTAGAAGTATAGTGAGGGATCAGCTGTGTGATGCTTCCTTTTGGCATTCTACAGAGAAGTTCTCATGAATTGTGACTGTCTCTTAAGAGTGAATTATGAAGATTTTGAGGCCTAGCTACTTGTTGCTAATGCATTATTTTAAAGTATCTAGATTTAATGTAGCAGAGGAGTCATCTTCCTTCTATGAAGAGAAGAAGCTCTGAAAAAGAGAGAGAAGCTGTGTGGAGGTAGAGGGGAGTGTTCCTGTGTAGTGCTGTAAGTTTTGAAGGCTTGTCATCAGAGTACAGTGCTGTTTTTAGGTAGCCCAAATCAGTAATCATGCCCTGACAGACAAAACCATGCCTGCACAGCCCATTATGACAGGGAATAGTATTTTTTTTTATTTTTTATTTTTTTGGGGTACAGAGTGAAATGTAATACACTGATAAGACAGATACAGTTGCTAGAGCTTATGTTCTGTTATTGTTACTGAAGATTAATAGGGTAGCAGCAGTATGCAGTGTTAGACAGGACATAAAGATGCTTCTCATAAGCAAGTCTTACTTATGTGGATATATCTGGTGACTTCCTTGTATGTTGCCATAGCTTGTGATGTGTTTTTCCAGATGAGACTTCTGATTTTGCATTCTTGTACTTCATTAAAGTTGCCAGCTTTTGTTAGTGTGGTGTGGAATGTGGTGCAGCATTTGATACCAAATGAAAACATCACGTGAGATTGAAATAGACCATGAATTTGTGTAGCTTTTCTACCGTATCAGCTTTATAGTAGCACTGAGCATGTGGCAAGCTTTGTTAGAGAATAACACCTGTGGAAATCATGGAGAGAAAAAAATTAACACCACATGCTTGAAAATCAGACCATTTGTATCCTTGCTGCAATTGCACAATGTTTGCTTCAAGTTGGGAATAAGATTGTTGGTGCTGTTCTTTTAAATCCCGTTGTTGCTTAATTGTTCAAACCACGTTGTCTTTCAAAACCAAACAACTGAAGATTGATACAGTGCTTGGATAATTTCTGTAGCGCTCATACGTGAAATAGCTGAAGCAAGGTTCAGCAGGAATGCGAGTCACCTTCCGTCGCTGACATCACACTTCAGCACGCTGCTCCTGACGTGTGAGAAGCTCCTCCTGCAGGCTGTTGTTTGCTTTGTAAGCATATATGAATCATCTCTTCTGACTTAAAATTACTAAAATCAGAACATTTCTAGAATACCCGCAGAGAATTCCATTGAGAACTTTGAAGATGAGGTGTTAGAGGGTGTAGGCTGTTCTGCTGTGCCTTTGAGTCTGCATGGTGTTAATGTGCTAACAATAGGGTCCTTGTCTCCTTATTTTCATGCCTTGGTATGTGAGAATTCTAAAGCCTTTATTCTCCAAAACTTTTAATCAGCGGTGAGGTAAGGGTTGTTCTGAGGCCTGGTAATTTGCACCTTTCCATCTGTTGTGTGTAACACTTACCTGAGTATGTGATACTGAGACTTAAACTTCCTGGCAGTATTTCATTCTGCTTGCCCTTGTTTTCTGCTTAAAATTATGCTAGATAAAGAAATAGTTCAAAGTGATGTTCATTGTCAATCAGTGGCAGAATTGACAAAAATGCCACCAACTGTCTGTTTTATATTTTGTAGTGAGTAGCTTATCACTCTTCTAATTCTTTTACAAGCTGGAATCTTTCAGTAACCTGGTCGTTATTATCTCTTCATTCCTTTTAGCATCCTTGTTTCCATGTTGTGTGCGCCTGATGCAGTGTTTGGAGGAATTGTTATCTAATACTCCTTGTTCTGTCCAGCACAGACAAGTCCCAGAACACCGTAATCTGACCAGTTATGCTTGCCAGAATTTGCCTGTCCATTCTATACCAAGCATTTACTTCTTAATTTGTGCTCAGTTTAGTCTTTCACCAGCTACCACTTAAGCATTGTCGGTATTCGTTGTTAAAAAGCTACAGGTGATTTAAAGGAGTGATGTGTGAGTGGAACGGGGAGCTGGATTGTTTCTTAGGCCTTTATTTTGTGTTTTTTGTGTGATCGCTCTAAGTGCAAATGCTTCGTCTGAAAGTATGATACGATGATTAAATGTGTGGGGTTTTTGTATCTTCTCAACCTTGTCTGTTTTAAGCCTTGAATACAGCTAGACTTTAAATGGCTGTGCAATCACGATTCATTTATTGATGGCAGAGGCAAATCTTCCGAATGCTCTTGTGGAGCAGCTGGCTGCTCCCTTTTATTTCCTTCTTCCAGAGAGGCAGAATTGATACAAGAGCATTCATGAGAGCTTTTAGTTTGTACTGAAAGCCACCGGCTATTCTTTATGTCCGTTGGGTCGAGGTGGCTTTTCACTTCTGTTCAGAACAACTAGGAACATAGAGTACTATCTTGCATATGTTAACCATAGCTGTATATTAATGTATACGTGCCATTCTAAACCGCTCTGAAACTTGTTTGAAAGATTGCAGGAAGTCATGTGCCAAAAGGAGCTGGTCGTACTCCTTCCTGATCTTGAGCTGCCAACATCGGTTCTCTTACCCAGAGCATGGCTTACCTCATAAGTGTCTGAGAATCTGCAATTATTCTGGCACTTATTTGTCACCCTATTGCTGTTTGTAGTTCTTAGTGCACTCTTAATTGTAAAACATCCGGAACATTTTTGTGCTTGAGTTGTATGTTAGGTTTCCACGTTAATAAAGATATATTTTGTTGTAGTTTGGAGCAGAATTTCGGCGGTTTTCTTTGGAGAGGTCCAAACCTGGGAAGTTTGAGGAGTTCTATGGATTATTGCAGCATGTGCACAAGATACCCAACGTTGATGTTCTAGTGGGATATACAGATGTTCATGGAGATCTGCTGCCTATAAATAATGATGACAACTATCATAAAGCAGTTTCCACCGCCAATCCCCTACTCAGGATTTTCATTCAGAGAAAAGGTAAGCGTGCTTGATGTGGGTAATAAGTTGTTTTATAGTTACACTGTTTACTCGCTATGATGAATGGAGTGAATGCCCTATTTCATTGTGTTGAATTCCACAACTGTACACGGTCAGATTTATTCACGTCTCTGTTGCAGGAGTTTCCTCAGGCAGCCTGTTTATACTTCATGCTTTTTGTTGTATTCAGTTTGGTTGGATAAAATCAAGTTAAATCTATAGCAAATGTTTCTTTCTGATTTCATTCCAATGAAAATGAACTTAGAACCCAGGATTTCTAGGGTTTTATGGTCTGTATATGTTGGACGAATTTCAATTAAAATTCCTGTTTTGATTGGACAAGGGAAAAAGCTGTTGCATGGTGGAAAGGAATCCTACTGCATAAAGAATTACATGTCAGTATAGAGAGACTAACTTTTAATATGCTGCTTCTGTAATACTTTCCTGATAAAAACAATGTGGAGCTTTCAAAATGACATTGATTTCAATCTGCAAGCTTCAAGTGTGAATGCTGATTATTTTTTTTGTCAGATGGCTTTTAAAAATAGCATGTATTCTAGGTCCAAGTTCTGTTGTCTTTTTCTAGTATTTGCCTTCATCTGTGAAGCAGAATTCAGTTTTGAAGTTGTATGTGTTCTTGACCGGAAGAACATACACAGTGTAAAGATCGGAAGGGGATGGGAGGATGGGGAGTGTGCAGTCCTAGTGATGTGACTTGAGACTGTTTTAATTCAGAGAACAAAGAAAACCTAACTTCTAAACTTGCTGATTTTTCTACTTACGTAAATACAGGGGTGTATGTGTATATGAATTCAAGTGTGCAGTTCCTATATTGACAAACAGTGAAGTGATCTTTAAGTAACGCACTATTTATTGCTCAGCTATTTTGTGAAGATGTGTGCTTTTTCTAGTTGTTGCTTATCAACAGGCTTATTTTCTCTAGGAAATACTTGGGCTTTATACCGGAAGCTTTTATTGACATTCTCACTCCAAAGTAATGAAGTCCACAACAAACGATCTGACACAAAAACAATATGCAGAAACTGTGGCTTCTTGCCAGCTGCTGTTTGTGACAATGCATTTGTTTTGTTTGTGTGGAGTTTAGTGTGGTAAGGCCTGTATGCTTTCATTTCTGAATTGCCAAGGAGATGAACACGAGGAGTGTTAACAGAATGTCACTGCGGAAAAGGTCTATGATTCCATTTAATCTTCTACAGTAGCCATATGACAGGGACAGATAAGCCACTTTGTCAGACTAGGATTATTGGGTTACATTTAACACCATATGGTTTTTAAATTGTTACTGGTGTTAAATTCTTAACGCTAATTGTTACTAGTGTTACATCTATAATCTTTGTTCTTCATACTTTCGGCAAGTAGGATGGATTACTTTTACGTTTCTGGTGCAAGGAATTGAGAATGGAATCGATAGTAATGCACAACCAGAAATAAGATTAACCCAGTTAAGTTTCTAATGCCAAGAACTGATTGTCAGAAAAAGCTGTGTAGAAAATAGTCCCTGTCAAATGGAACTATATAGCCTTCTGGCTGTGGAGTTTTAGCTAATAAGGAACCTAGATTGGCATCTAGGTTCTGCTATGAAACTATAATTAATGATAAATAATTCAAGTTAACTTTCCTCCTGTAAGGTTTGTTGTGGCTTCCATAAACTCTGCTGAATCGCCTGAATATTTTGCTGAAAAAATCTTTTTGAAATTCTTATAAAACAAAACTTTCTTTCCTTGTTTACCCAACAATAATAGTTGGGAACTTAAGATCTTTGGCAAAAAGTTATTGCTGACTTGGAATGGCAGCACAAAGGAGGGAGTTTGTATTGTTTTAAAAGAGAAAACTTTATTATGTTCGTTTGCTGGTCTAAAGATTTTTGAAAGCTGGTGTAAGATATGAGTGAACTACAATAAAATCAAATGTAAATAATTCTGACCCTGTATCCAAGGAAGGCTTTAAGGTGGTTGAAAGGAGAGCAGCAGTATTCTTTCGTTATGTCAGCAGTAAGTGACGGTGGTGATGATGCAGGTCTAACTTAAGGAATTTTGGCATGTCAGAGTAAGCATGCTTCTGTTTTGTGTTCACTTTTGAGTCTTAATTTATGGAAACTGGGAAGTTGTGCATCCAAAAGACTTACGTTTACTGCTTGATAGGGTGAGAAACCTGGATATCCTTTAATGAAATGGAAGTATTCATCCTCTCAGGTTTTTCTAACTACAACTAGTACTTCTGTAACACTTGTTTCAGCATTAAGTCTAAATTAGAACTTGCTTATAGCACAAGTTATGGCTATCAGTTTGTAGAAAAGTTGCCTGTTGGAATTTCATCTTGGAGATTAAGAGATTAACAGGTACTGCTGACATCTGGAACTTAAACGCTGAACTGCTGTATCATGATTACATCCAGATGTACGGGAGTCGCTCTGTCTGTGAGAAAACTTTTACTGTGAATATGAACATGGAGGGGGAGACGGTTCCCACAGACACTGAAGGGCAATTTGGTATGGAGGGTTTGTTTTTGGGTACAAGAAGTTAGATGATGATTTCAATTTAGCACCTGTGAAAATCACTTAGAGTTGTATATTGTAATTTCCTATTCTTACACATCATGCCTGGCACGTGGCTTTATAGAATAAAAAGTAGATTCTTAATTCTCTCCTATTTCTTGAGGTGGACTTTTTCTTTTTCCATGAAAAACAAATTTTTAAAGACAACTTTCTGGAGAAGATTCCTTCTGTCTGTGTCCTCTTTCTAAGAGAAATATGAGCTTGTTATAACTTGGGCCTAGTTAAGAGAGATGATTTATTGGGCCTTATTTGAAAATGGTAAGTTGCATTCTTATTCCAATATAATCATGATTTGGTGTTTGTGCAATTGTTAAATTACTCTTTGTGAATTACACTGGTTTGCCAGTAGATCAGGAAAACACTGTGAATGTCTTGAACGATATTGAATTGAAACCAGATTTGACACTTGCAGGCAGTTTAAAATTTGCTGCATAAGTACGTACAGATTGGTGCCACCTTGGGTTTGAAACTGCTAAGAAACAAATCACTTCAATGCTATGGGGCCATTCTCCTTAACGTTATCTGGAGTTAATACCTTGCCCTTTGGCTTTATGCCAAAATATCTTTCTCTGTAGCTTTAATCTGATTAGCAAGGTGCCAGAACAAAGATGCCTTTGTACTTGAGAGTATTGCTTTAACTTCTCCACTGCTGAACAAACTTTCTAAACAGTCACGCTGTTTGGATGAGATATGGAGAGATGAGTTTTCTTCATTGACCTTTCATTGTTGTTTTTTCCCCCACAGATTATGCAACTTCAACTGTATTTCATAAGGTTTGTACTAGTTTTGCATAGTTAGGCTTTTAAGACTAGCTGTGGTACAAAAATCAAAGCCTCTGCTTAGATATTTTGACTTGTGACTTGTAATTTTGGTACTCTTTGATTGGAGTATCGTGACTTGAAATGTATTTCTAAAAGCAGAAGTGCCAGCTCAGTGTTAAGAATTCTAATGGTATTTGTTTTGCAAAAGACTTCTGAAGGTCATATCTATTCCAGTAAATATTCTTCTGTTAGTTTGTCTAAAAAGCACTTCTGATTCTCCGTTAGTCCACACTGATGAATTCATGTATTTCTTTCAAAGCTAGTCCTTCTGCTACTACTCTTCATGTTTCACGAGTATGAGAAATTTGGTTTGGACAGAAGTGGTAGGCCACTTTGGCTGATGGTTACTTTTGTGTGTTCCTGGCTAGTGAAGAAAGCTGCAAGAAGCTGTGTGACAAGTTTTAGGGCAAACTATTGGGTAAGGAGCACAGAAACTAAGTGGGATCATCTGTGAGATCCAGTGATTCTTCTGGGATGTATTCAACGCCTGTTTGTATGACTGGTGCGTTCCAGGTCTACCATCCGGCACGGAAGATATGGCTGTAGCAGGAGAGGGACTGTGCTAGGGCCTTCTGTGAAGGAGCTGTTTTACTGGCCAGCTGGAGGCAGCTGGGAGCTCAGATATGACATTCATTCTATCATATCAGATGTAAAAATTACTACATACTGCATCTGAATCTTTGACAAGAATCTAAATTTGTGGACTTGAGATTCATGGAGGAAATCCACCAAAACTGAATACCCTTAACGTTGCAATACTTCATATGAACAGAACAAGGCTAATAAGAAGATGAATACCTACCTGTTTTGATACAGTTTTCCTGTGTACAATTTCCAAACCACTTCCTGCACTAAACCCCAGTGGAAACCCAGTGCTTCACTTGTTCTGGTGTAAGTTAGTACCTGTGTACGACTGCTTCCATCAGCATTCTGCACTTCAGGCCAGACGGTTTTGTGTCTACAATCTTCCCCTTCCTTTTTTTTCTTAAGGAGAGCTTACTCTAAATATATGAATATATGGCTGAAGGTCTGAATAACATGGAACTAATTAGTCAAAATACATTCAACTTGGTAACTAGCTTTATGGAAAACTTCCACCCCCAAAAATATATATATTTTGGAGCAGTGTTATATTAAACGCCCAGAAACCTGTCTTGTAAATGCAAACCAAAATGGAAGTTTTTGGAACAAGGTAAAGTGACTTAAGGACATGTCTTGTCCATGCAATATTGCTCTGGTCTTTGAGTGTTTTTCACTGATTCTGCTGCCTTGAAATCAGAGTTCTAGAGTATTAAAAATCTGTAGTACTTGGGCACAAACTGTACTGAAGTTTTTGAGAGATAACTGAGTTCCATGCCAGCTGCTGGTAGGGAAAGGGAAAACTCATGATGTAAAAAATAAACTTTGCACTCATTAGCATTCTTATTGGATTCTAATATTCAGGTCACTGTTACCTGTTTTTTGTATTAAAGTCTGTACTATTGCTTCCTTGCTTCCATTATGAATTACTCTGTATTTAAATGTGAAGGCATGTAAAGCAAAACCCTTCTGTCTAATTTATTTCACAATTGCCCTTGTTCCATAAGCAGTGGTAGTTCCAAATTAAAAAAAAAAAAAAAGTGAAACTATTACAACTATTGTTATTACTATTATACAATTATTAACTATTAAACTATTATTATTGAGGTTCAACAAGGCCAAGTGTCGGGTCCTGCGCTTTGGCCACAACAACCCCATGCAGCGCTACAGGCTTGGGGATGAGTGGTTGGATGACTGTGAAGAGGAAAGGGACCTGGGGGTGTTGGTTGATGCTCGGCTGAACATGAGCTGACAGTGTGCCCAGGTGGTCAAGAGGGCCAACGGCATCCTGGCCTGCATTAGAAACAGTGTGGCCAGCAGGAGCAGGGAGGTGATCATCCCCTGTACTCAGCTCTGGTGAGGCCGCACCTCGAGTACTGTGTTCAGTTTTGGGCTCCTCACTACAAGAAAGACACTGAGGCCCTGGAACGTGTCCAGAGAAGGGCAATGAAACTGGTGAGGGGTCTGGAGCACAAGTTTTATGAGGAGCGGCTGAGGGAGCTGGGATTGTTTAGTGTGGAGAAGAGGAGGATCAGGGGAGACCTCACTGCACTTTACAACTTCCTGAAGGGGGTTGTGATGAGGAGGAGGGGTTTGGCCTCTTCTCCCAGGCAACGAACAGAACCCAGGGAAATGCCCACAAGTTGTACCAGAGGAGGTTTGGGTTGGACATGAGGAAGAACTTTTTCTCTCAGAGGGTGGTCAGGCACTGGAATGGCTGCTCAGGGAGGTGGTGGAGTCGCCGTCTCTGGCAGTGTTCAAGAGGCGTCTGGATGACATGCTGCATGATGTGGTTTAGTGCTAGTGGTGGCAATGGTGATGAGGTGACAGTTGGACTGGATGATCTCATAGGTCATTTCCAACCTTGTGATTCTACAACTCATTGAATTACAGAAATCCTCACAACGTAGTGACCACGTATTTAGCTTGAAACTGGTTTGGTTTGTCAGTAGATAAAAGCAAAGCATCTACTCGTACTTTGATAAATTTAATGAAAAGATTAAAAGAACTGCTTCGTGTTGTCTGAGAACTCAGCATGTTAGTTCTCAGCTATGAAGTACAGGATTATTAATGGCTGATCTCAGTGAGATATCTCAAAATAGATTTTACTCAAAGTGTTAAGCTTGCATTTGCAGAAGTGTTCTGCAGTAAAGTCCATTTGTTACATGCTTTGTTTGGGGAGGTGGCTTTTATCTTGAGTGTTTTTTAAATCAAGCCACCTTTTGTCAGAACCTGACTTGACTCTCTTAGACTTTTGATGAACAGATCTTATTCTTTTTCTAAAGCCTCCTTGCTTGATGCTACATCTAATAATTTCAGTTAGTCTTTCCTGCTGAAGAACAGCTGATTGAAAGACCCTTTCAAACTCGGTTCAACATTTTTGGAGTTAGAGTATACTTAAAATGGAAGCTTCCTTTGGAAAATGGGTGTTTTTTTGGACAAAAAAGAGTTACTTCTGCTGAAGTTATTTCCATCAGTAATATTTGTATGGCTCAGATTCCTCTTTTTTTATAAAGTCATTTGTGCACTTTCCTATCAAACAGTGGCAACTGCAGCATTGCTTGTACATATGATGTTGCTAGAAGTGTGTGTGTGTGCAACGTCTCTTTGTTTCTGTTCCACAGTTGTTTTACCTACATTGCATGGGGGTGGGGAGAAGAGTGCAGAGTGCAATAATGTTTCTGGAGTTTGAATCCAGGTCACTTGGATCGCTTCCAGGAACTGGGCAATAATGGGTACTCTGGCTGCTTTCCCTTTTTCATTCTTTCTTTTCCAATGATCTGAAACTTAAGGAGAGAAAACTAACAAATGGAGTTGCTCTGAATAAAATTAAGATGTTTCTAGGAATGTGCTTGTCCTTTCCATTTCTGACCTTTCTCATGCAGCTAGTTCTTTTCCTTTGCTCTGTTAACTTGCTTTAATTTTTTTTGAACTGTTCTTTCCTTTGGTAACCTTGCAAGCCTTGATAAATTGCATAGCATCAGAGCTCTTGTCTCAAGTATAGAATGTTTCTACTGTAGCAAACCAGAAACCTTCTAGACTAGATTGTTCATTCTGCTAACCTAAAACATGAAAGCGGTGCTATATGGCCTACATATAAAGTGACCTAATCATCAGTGTGCTATGTCTTACAGAAGATGCAGACTACAGTGCCTTTGGTACCGATACTATGACAAGGAAGAAAAACGTCTTAACAAATGTGTTACGTCCAGATAATCACAAGAAGAAACCACACGTTGTCATTAGCATGCCACAAGACTTCAGACCAGTGTCTTCTATTATAGATGTAGATATTCTTCCAGAAACTCATCGCAGGGTACGACTTTACAAGTATGGAACTGACAAACCCCTTGGATTCTATATACGGGATGGCTCTAGTGTCAGAGTGACGCCACATGGATTAGAAAAAGTTCCAGGGATTTTCATATCCAGGCTTGTCCCTGGGGGCCTGGCTCAAAGCACGGGCTTACTGGCTGTCAATGATGAAGTACTGGAGGTGAATGGCATAGAAGTTTCAGGGAAAAGCCTTGATCAAGTTACAGACATGATGATTGCAAACAGCCGTAACCTGATCATTACAGTCAGACCAGCAAACCAGAGAAATAATGTTGTGAGGAACAGTCGGAATTCTGGCAGCTCTGGTCAGTCTACTGAGTCTAGTCTTCCAAGCAGCACGCCAAATATTTTAGCAAATTTCTTGCAAGGAGAAGAAGAGAGTGACGAGGAGGACATCGTCATTGAAGATAGCGGTGAGCCACAGCAAATTCCTAAAGCTGCACCTACCAGCCTAGAATCATTGACGCAGATTGACCTGCTCCATGAGCCAACACAAAATGGCTTCCTTCCTTCCAGTGAGGTGAGCTTGAGTCACTCAGCATGCAACATTAGCATGGAATATGAAGTACAGAACCCAGATCACAAGTCATTAGAAGAAGACGGAACAATAATAACACTATGAAATTACATTGGTGTACTCTGTACTGAGCAAGGATGCTGTACACTTTTGATTTGGCATAATATATGATGTTTTATACCTCTCCATCTACTGTGCACTGCAATTTGCTTAAAAGGAGGAAAAGATAGTAAATGTAAGAAATTCACAATGATGTAAGTGGACTGACTCTGCACTTCCATGTAAATACTTCACAAATATTAAAAAAAATAGTTGATAACTGACTAAAATTTAAATTGAAGGTGAAGGATAGCTAAGAGATGGCTGTGAGCTTTCTCTTAACAGTACTTTTGTTTTTTTTGTGCAAATACTATTGGTTCTATGGAATTGAATTTCCATTAGTGTCTGAGGTTGATTATCTAATGTGCTGTGGTTTCACATTCAACTGAAGTGCTGCTTATGTACCATGGAGATGCTTTAGTCGGTCAGTTCCTCTTCTGGACTGCTGTTTTGCTGATAGAGCTGTCTGTGTGGCTCTGCGTATGAGGAAACAAAAATAAGCAGGAGATGGGCTGGGAGAGAGGCACTCCTGGTTGGTGAGGTTCCTGAGTCATTGAGCAACAGCAGTATGTGAGGAGTTCAGCAGATTATCCTCAGTTAGATAGGGCCTTCTGAGGCTGACTGTCCTGTTGTGGGTATGTAACCACAGGCTCGTTAGTGATGCATCTATATTGTTTTTAATTTGCCTTATATCATGAGGTTCATTTACTTTCAACTACACTATGATTTTTAAACCCAAATGTGAAATTTTTAACACTTCTGTATCTCAGACCTCTTCTCATTTTAGTTTGCAATGTTTAGGACATCATCAAATTTAGTTGCTAATCTCAGTGAATAGTAAAGAAATCAAATGTAAACTTAATGCTATGGAAGTAACATTACATAATCCATGTTTTAGAAAACAAAAAGCAGTCCTAGCAGAAGCTGCAATGATTTCTGCTAGAGAAGCTTGTTGTTATGAGTCTAAATGATGTGAAAAATTACTTTCTTCACACCTACACATTTAAAGCAGCTTAGATTGACTTAAATCCCTGTACTTAGAAAACAGTTTGAAATCAGGATGAGATTTCAATAGAATTTGAGCAGTATGATATTAAAATGATTCATTCCAATGAATTAAACTGTAAATGCTGATCTTCCTGTGCACCACTGGCTGGCTGTCTTAAATATTATAGAGCTGTATGTATAAAGCAAAATACAGATGACAAGTGCTGATACTGCAAAAGCACATGCAAGCAAATTTCCTAGGAGAATGGCAGGGAAAGGCTTCTAGCACTTCCTCCTTCTTAGGATCTTCTGTTTTACCACCTGGCACTCTGTTCCCCACCTGACTCTATTTTGGGAATGTTACTCCTTGCAGGAAAGTTAGACGGGAATTAATGAAGTTGGGAGGAAGGTGAATGGAGCTTCTCAACAGGGATCCAGCAGTCTGACTCAACCTGTAAGAAAGCAGTAGGATGTGACCAGTTCTGTACTGTGCTTCCAGATTCTTGGAAGCCTCTTCTGCCCTGTGGGGAGAGATGGAACAAACAGGAAAGGAAACAAACTTTTTTTTTTTTTTCCCCCAGTCTACTCTGGGGAAACATCTACCTCTCGTAACTTCACTAATATGGGGCTATCTAGAAGTTTGGTGTTAAGGCATCTGCACAAGGGTTAGGGCTAGTGTATCAGAGGCTAAGAGTGTAGTATAAACAAAATTGCTTCAGTTATTAGTGGCATTAAATTTTAATGCGTTTGAATTTGAAATTAATAATCTTAACATTGGAGTTCAAATCTCCCGGGCTTTGAAGCGTTTTACTTATTTTTGCTAATTATATGAAGCAACTATATCTACTTAGAGGAAAATCTTCACTCTGCAATATGTAAGCTTCAATAACACCTTTTCTGACTGCTGCTCTACACTTCCTTTACTAAAGGAAGATTGTTTACTTTAAAGTATGTTCTTCCTTTATTAAAGACTTTCCTTCCTGTATAAAGTCATCAGCTGATGGTGACTGTCATCTATTATGCTAGTTTGCACTTCTGTGCCTTTTGTTTACTTGAATATATTGTGAATAATTAAAGGAGCAAAGGCACTTGGGTGAGAAAAGAATGAGGTCCACAGACACAGAAGATGAAGTGGTAGCATACTGAATGCAGGTGTGATGCTCTCATTCGGAGGAGGTGCACTGTGGGTCTGCTGTGGTGCACTGGCATTTTGCAGCATGGGTGCATGATGAGCTATTAAGTTAGGCAGGAGGGTTGGTTCTGAGAATGCTAATTACAGAATGTTACACGGTAACTTATTGCTGAAGTACAAATGCCCAAAGTTAGAGTGCTGCCAAACTCTGTGTTACCCAATTTGTACTTTAACAGACGCATGGATGAATTGGATGTGTATGCTGGTACGAAGGATTTGTAGGCACTAACTAGGGTCCCACTATAAATTGCATGGGAATTCATCCCGTAGGACCTTTTCTGCAATTCTGTAATCTAATTGATCTAAATATGTGAGAGAATACACTTGATGTGTGATGTTCTGTTTTACAGGAACTTGATTACACACACAGCAAAACTGTGCATTTGGGATTTGGTTAGAACAAAACACTAAATATACATACTGAAAACTGATTTTAGTTGTATTTATGGTTACAGGGACAGGCTGCACCGCATGTAATTGCTAAATGCTGCAGTGACCATGAAGTTTCTAAAGTTCTTCCACATTTTACTGATATATACACTCTTAATTATCAACTGTTTTTAAATTATTACTTCAGGATGATCAGTGGTTGATTATGAATGGCTAAACTTTATATATAAATGGTACTAAGGCTCAGTATAGGGTTTTTAAAATATGCTGATATCGTTAGCCTTTCATTTACTACCTCCTAAATTTTTAACATCTTTATAATTTTCTCCTTGGAAGAAAGTGCTTAAAGGCTTGACTGTTTCATACAGATTTTTATCTTTAGCTAAAAGAAATTCAGAAGTGATAGTGAGGTTGCTACGCATGATTGACAAAATTAAGCTGCTATTAATGTAATCTTTGTGTATTAAGTATCCTGCATATGTAAACTGTATTTTCAATCCAGATTTTATAAACTAATATATAAATATCCAAATTACTTAAAAATGGAGCAGAAAACTGAAGTTCTCTTGAGTAGCGTTATGTATTGTATACCTGCATGGGGGAAGTCCTTCACTGCAGATGGGAGATAAGTGCACCTTACTGGGAAACAAGCAAATGCTTCGTAGAATTAAGATGCATTTACTTTGAAGTTCTGCTCTGGTACTGGGTAAGTCAAGCCTAACTGTGAATCATATGTTTTTTCCACAGCTGAATTAAATTTAGGGCAATGTTCTCACAACCTGTCTTTAACATGTGTATTTTTGTGAATATTATGTATTTTCTAATTAAATTCTACTTGAAATGTGATTTTTACATCAATGAACTTGTTTAAAATGTCGAATATCAGTATTTTTCTTACAACTTCAATGTATAATGTACATTGTTAGCTCACTGAATGAAGATTGATTTTATGAATCTAGCTAGCTGTAGCTGTATATTAGTCTTATATTTTTACAGACTGGAATAATAAATGGATATAGAAATAAAATGGTTTTTTTTCTTAATTACTTTTAGACATGTAAAAATGAGGAAGAATGCAGTGTTTGCTAATTCTGAAGTGTGACTGTAGATGGGTTTCTGTTTCCTCTTGGGCACCTGTGGGCTATTTTCATGTTAGCTTAATGTTTGCTTCTTCTGCTCCTTTCTCTGAAGCAAATCTTTACTTGTCCTTTGGTGCTGTTGACTGACCTGTGATGTGCTCATGCTATGATTCCTATGGTAGCTGCTAATAATGAGTTTTGCATTTGTATCACTTGCCTGAAGACTACTTATGGTAAAGTGCAGGACGTGAGTCGGGGAGATGGTTGTCTCTCATCTGTCATCACTGCCAAATGCTGCTGGCGATTTGGTGGTTTTCCTTTAATGTAAGTATTTCTTACAACTGTATTAATGTTTTTAACTTGTACCTGGTCCCCTTACAAATGCTTTCTTTCTTATCAAATGCATTGGCAGCCCTTGAAAAAATTTACCTGGTGGCAGAAGATTTGAGTTTCTTTAGGTTCTTTTGCAGCTGCTGTTCTCAGGGCAAGCCATAGAACTTCTGTGCTGCACCTTCCTTCATACTGTGTGGAAATTCAGACGTAGTGTTTTTGTAACTTAAAAATCTTCTATCCAAATGTATAAAGCTCTGAAACATTTGAGTTACTGGCTTTTCTGTAAAATGTGAATTGTTGTGGGAACATGTTAATTCCTAGTATTGCTGTTGAAATTTAAGGATCAGATATTCTGAATGAATTGAATGCTTTAAAAACAATAAAAAGAGCAAAATCTGAAAGGTTAATAGGGTTTTTAAGCTGGAATAATGCTAATACAGACCCAGGGTGAATCTGAAGTGAGGGCACAGTTCAGAAATTAATCAGAGACGAATAAAGAACAAGACTGAAATGCAACACCATTTCTACAGATTACTAGTCTCTCCATGTTGCTTTCCTAAATTAAGAGACTAATTGTAAAAGAAAGACTAACTTTCCCTGTTGCTGCTGCCTCCTTGAGGAAGAAATGCAACTGTTAAATACCACATAATAACGTGGGGAGAAAAATATTTGAGGAAAAATACTACTGGAAAGAATTTAAGGCCTGCAGGAAGACCCAAAGATTGCTTTTCGTGACAGCTGTTAGCTGCTCACGACTGTCCTTGCTGTGTGTGATCAGGCATTTAGATACACTTTGCTTTCTGTATGAGAAGAGAATAAAAATGGAGAAGGATCTCCCCATGCTTGCCTGTGCAATTCAACCGAGGAAAAAATGTCAGCATCTCTCACAAAAGAGCCTCAAAGTGGGAGTAAGTACAACACTGCTGCAGAGACCAGCTTGTATAGAAGCAAAAAGTGAAAGGAGTCAGACACTGTCAGTTAAATATTTGCAATATTTTGTGACCTTATGGGTGCAAATATTTTACCTGTGAATGGCATTAAGTTTCTTCCCTTACACCGAAGATGAGGTTTTTCTCTCAACTCATTGTTCTGAATTCTCAGGATCATTTCCAACGCAGCTCAGAATTGATTGTTTGCAGATAGAGACTTGTCTGAATTTTCAAAAGGAACACATTGAGACACATGGTGTAACAGAAGGAAAAAGACTGAAATCAGTGCTAAAGACCCCATTTGCAGTTTTCTTTTTACCTAGAAATTAGCTGTGGCACTCTAATCTAGGTTTGCCTGGGTTAGTTCTGCTGATCCTGAGAGCTGTGTGCGGTCCTGAAGAAGGGAGATCAGCAGCCTCAAAGTAGCTTCATAGACACTTCCAGTACTCACTTGAAGGAAAATATGCACTGCATGTTAGCAGTGTTGCTCTTGGATGCTGTGGAAGCAAGAAGTGGTACGGCTCGTTCTTGGAGAAGTGAGATTGTAGCCAAGATTGAAGAATTCAGACTGCTTATGCAGCGATGATAGATCAGCTGTGTACTTTCCCTCTCAAACAGGAGACAGATTCCTCTCTGATGACTTTATGTAGTGTGTTTATTTTCTTAAGTGGTTTAGAAACATGAGTCACAAATCAGTTTGAGGAAGTGCTGTGCTATTTTACCAGCACTTCATGTTGAAGCTATTTGGAGGTGTTGCTAGTAAGATACAATTTCCTGTCCTCCGAATTAACATTCCTTTCTACTTGAACTAGTACTTTATTACCCAAGGAGATACCTTGCATTTCATCAGAGGGGAAGGTTTGTATTGGGCTCTGTGATGTTGCGCCTCTGTTTGCTCTCCAGAGGAGAATATGGTTTTTCTCTGGTTCAACGATGCTTCTGAATGCCTTCTTCAAGCACCTTGTCATTCATAACGTTTTTGGTGGTGGGTTGTTTTTTTTTTTTTTTTTTTTTTTTTTTTTTTTGCACATGTTGGCAATGCTCAGAAACGAAGAACAGAGTTTGGGGGACAGATGGTGTGAAAGGCGCTACAGAGGGTAAGAAAATCATCCCATTCAGAGGTTCATGCTTGTCTGAACCACACCAATAAGGTGGTTTTTGTACAAATCTGATGTGTATCTGGCGTGCCTGAACAAACTCTTCAAATAAGTGCCTTGTTTTTCACAGCTGTAAGAGACAAAATGGAGAGAAGATTAGTGCATCTCCTGATGTTTAACAAAGGATGCAAGTGTCCCAGCACGATACAGAGGAATATTGAACTTTGCAAAAGCCAAAATTTGTTTATTGTATTAAGTTGTACCAATTAGTCTAATGAGATACTGTCTCTGTTTGCAAGCCTTGCTTGTCTCTTTAGAATCGTGACTGTAACTGTGCTACCTCCTGTTGCGAGACACCGCATTTTCTTCCAAGGGTTTCAAGTTTTGTTTAACTTTCTTTTCAAGTTATTTGCTATTATTCTAAATACTGCAGACCCAGTTTGTTTGTTTTTAAAAAGTAGGGCTCATCTTCTGGAGGAAGCAGAAAATTTTAAAGTCTCATGCCGAATATATAAAGAGATTTCTGTGACTTTAAGTGCTATGTGAGGTTACATAAATGGAATTTAGAGGTTAAAAACTATAAATCTTAGGAGCTTAAGTCCTGTAAAAGCCTTGTTATTAAGACTGCCCTTTTTTATCCCATGCTGTGAAATGAGAAAAAGATGTATTTTTGCAAACTTAAAAACAAGTGGTCTAAAACTGACTTGCAAAACATGATCTGGGCACACAATTAGATGTTGAAATTCCATTAATTGTCTTTCAGAAATATTTCAGGTGCTGTTCATTCTGAACATACCCCTTCACACACTTCCTCCTCTCTCATGTAACTTAGTTTCAAAACAGTTCATCCGTGATACACAACAGAGCTCAGAAATGTTTCATGGGGATCTGGACTTCATGCTTTCCAAATCTCACTGATGTGTAACCTCACGCACCTTTCAGGCACACAAGCTAGAAACCATTGGGGTGTAGAGCAGCAATGGTTGAGCAGAGAACAGAACTATGCACAGTAGTCATAGATGTTTGTTCCCTTTGCTCTCTTCTTTAAAGCAAATCTTTGGAGTGCAAATACCTAGCAAGAGCTCTGCCCTGAGCTGGAGGGTTTGCAACTGAAACAAAGCACGTGTCTGGAGTCTCAGGCCCAGAGGTGCAGTGTGTTTTCTCTACAGCAGATCATTTCTGCAAATACCGTATGATTTTTCAGGTAAGAGCTTTCTTGTCACTGCTGTATCATGAGGTTCTGCCTGGTGCAGTTACCAGCATGGTGCAGGCGGTGCTTGGATCTCAGGTTGTTCAGGTTGCTGGGGAGAGAAGCTGCAGGCTTTTTGCTCCTGCTGTTGTTGCTCCAGGTGCTGCCTCAGGCCTGGCTCGGGGCAAACCACGCACTATAAATTGAGCGTTTCCTTGGGAATGCTAGACCAGGTTTGGAGTTTGCCGTTATTCGGTGGTAACTTCATCTTATTTCAAGCCCAGGGAAGCTTTGCGGGACAGTGTGGTCCTGTTGTAGTCTTCTCTGCAAGCACTCAAAATTAGTTTCTATGGTGTTTCTAATAACTGCACTGTGAATAACGCTCCAGGGTAGGCGGTGGATGACGTCTTATCC